AATCCTCCGTTGACAACACTTTCGCCGTCTTGATTAAGATAGAATCAACCTCTAGAAAGAGCGATTAAACTAGATTTTACCCGATGGAAGGAGACAAATTGAAGGGCAGACCTCAGGTCCTGAATGTTCTCGCCTGTCGCCAGCCCGGACAGCAAAATGATGACGTCTGTCTACCGTCAACCAAAGAACACGTCGCAAATTGTGAGTTACAACAACAACCACACGTTACAGTAGAAATGAACTTGCAAAGGCACGCTGTAGCCACGGGTTGAAACACACCGCAGCACGCCAGGCGACAAACGGGACGATATGAAGCTCCTCCAGGAATTTCTCAAAAGGAACGGCTATGCACGAGCGTTCATTGTACAGAGTTGAATGCTACTAACAACGCGGGCTGAGGAGCGTTGCCCGGAAAACTCGCAGCGGACCATTCCGTACATAAATAGGTTTCAGAAATCGCGCTCCTCGGAATAGGAGTTGTCGAGAGGCCTACCTCTACAATCTGGCAATAAGTGATGCAGCTGGAAAAAACTCTCGTTTATCTTGAACAGTCTGATTTATGCTTTAAAGCCTGTTCTTTTTCACTCGCGAAAATCTTCACGCCAGATGGCCTTAGCTGGAATAAAAAGCGCATTTGTTTTTCTTTCTAGGTGTCAAGTGTAATACCAGTCCCGAGCCTTGCCTTAATGAGACCTGTTCTAGACATGGAGTTTGCAAGCCCTCACCTGAGAGCGCGGATGGCTTTGAATGTGAGTGCGAAAGGCGCTGGAGAGGCAAACGCTGCGAACTTCGTCTGGGTGCTTGCGAGTTTGAGCAAAAGAGGCTTCAAGAGTTGAACGTGGAGGAAACCGCGATTTGCCTAAACAATGGAACCTGTGTCAACAATCCCAATGGCCTTGACTTCCATTGTCAGTGTACCCCGGCTTGGGAGGGCATTCGATGCGAGAAAAGTACCCATCAGGTATGAGATAATGTTCCAACCCTTTGTTTTTCCTCTATATCCCGTTTTTGTGAGCCACAAAACTCAATTTCATGTTATCCCTGAACGGGCTTCATACTTTGTTCGTTTCGTATTTTAAATACGTTTCCGCAACATCGTACTGGTAGCTTTATGGAATTTTTAGCGAATACGTATAGCATTTAATTTTGAGTGTTATTGTAAGGAGTAAGTCCTGTTCAGTGTCATTAGGGTAAAACAAAACTTAGCTACAGGCCTTTTTTGCCAAATTACTTGACTTAACAAGGTAATGGCAACAAAGCATACATAACGTAAATATTTCATGATAAATTATTCACTGGTGAACGTTACTTCACATTTATAGGACTGGCGGTTCAATAAGGAATGAGTCTAGGATAGTCAAGCGGTGACCGCGGATTTTGGTCTAATACATCTATTGGCAAGAGGACTTGGTGTAAGCGAGCAAATTGTAATCATGGAAGAAAGGCATCCAATGGGAACTACACAGCAGGGGACATTAGTCAGAGATACTCTTGCAAGTTTACTTCGAAAGGTTTATTTGCTGTCTGACTTTTCAACTAGTCATTTCAACTACCCATCTTTAGAGGTGAGGGTCAGTACAGAATTAGTATTACAAGGCACACTAGTTACGACCAAATGTTACTTTTTGTATACTTTTAAATTCTACCGAATGACGTTAGAAATTATTGGAAGGGAATTCGATATCACATCTACATCACAGACACTGGCAGGCCGAATGTGGGAACTCTGGTGAGGATTCTCGCACAGAAATCACGCTGTCATATTATGCGGGAGTAACTGCGTGAAGGCGATTTTCGCCTTCAGTGAAGACAAATATAAGTATCCAAACTGCACACCAAACAATTAGCCGGGTGTCTGGCTGATCTTTGAATATAATTTGCAGATTCTCGAGCGATCGTATGTAGAGACACTCAATCGCGCTCTTGCAGTTTACCCTTTGGATACCAACGCTTGTGGCTGTTGAAATTGATACGATAGATTTCGAGCAACAGCTTCTAGCACTACACAATTAATGAGGCTAGGTGGATCTATTTATCTTCACAGAGGCCCTCTTCCGTTCCTCACTCGACAGCCAATTTACAGGAAAGCAACTTACATGCTGCCGTTACCATCGAAAGCAAGCTAGTCTGACGATTGTACACTTACTGCTGTACGATAACGCCAAAATACTTTAACAGAAGGAATCAGTCGAAGGAGACGTCGTAATTAAAGCGTATCTAAGGGAATTCGTTTTGGGCAAGCCGAGTGGAATGAAGGAATCAGTATGAAGAAACCTACTAGTCAAAACAATGGCGAGGTATTTCATACGCCATGTCAAATGAAAGGGCCCCTTTGGCCTTAAATATACAATTTATTTATTATTATTATTAAAATCGTGTCGAAACTCGTGCTCTATGTTGAACAGGAGTCATCTAAGGTCTTGGCATAATCTTGCATCGGCAGGCGATGTACCTAACTAACTTCCTTCTGAAGGGGCAGCTGCAACTTGTTGCCTACTGACTTTCTTACATTTGTATAACGGCTGACAACTGTCGACCAAGATGCACTTGCACAAAAAGCGTAGTAGCTTTTTGTGTGCTGTTTCAGACACCATCCTCTACGGCTTAAAAGAGAGAGAACTGCGAGATTTGACATCGAAGCGGTGGGCCAAAGGGACCATCCTATTCAGTACAGACTGGCCAACCTAGTTTACAGTCAATTTCCATGCCAACATTCCTTCTGATAACTAGACTAAGTTAAATAATTCATGCATGGTCCGCACAGCAGACAACGACATCCGTGGTGACAATGGACACGGCAGTTAGAAGTCACGTGTTGCATTCGTGCCACTCTCAATTACATGATGAAAGGCACCCTAGGATGCTAGCAATGTCCCGTTAAAGTCGATTAACTTAGATTAACAGCTCACGTTCCTACGTGAGCGGTCCGATAACAAATAGATACCTCACACTAGGACGCCAAGAAAAGCCTTCTTACTGACAAAGGACTATGGCCTTTCAATAGTATCTTTCAAGATTGGAGAACTGATCCAAAGGAACAGTCTGCTCATTTCAGTAAATATAAAAAGTAACTCATAATTGTATGCAATAGGTGATGCGCACAGAAAAGAATCGGTTCATCCGCTTGAACTGCTAACTCTTCAAAGTCTGCTTAGGCAAGTGCATACGATGTGGATAAATATTTGCATTGGTTGGGGTAAGTGTTTCATTCAGGAAAATTGTACAGAATGGCCTAAAACAGGAGAAATGGAAATTATGACAATTAAAAAGAGCCAAATGATTGCTACTGTTTTCAACACCAAGAATACGCAAAGCCTGTGGATCAGTGCATCGGAGAAAATGTTATGGGGGATAATGTATTGTCATTTTTATGAAAGTGCATTTAAAACTGACACCACAACACAAGAACACTTGAAATTTGAATCACGTCTTTTAATTATTCATGCAGCACAAACTAAGCCTTCGTGAAACACGTAAGCATAAACTAAATACGAATAAGAACAATAATGGAACAATACATGAATCCTTCGAATTTCGCGCAAGTTACCTCCTGAGACCTCCCCCTGCGAAATTCACCTTTGTCTGAAGTAGAATATACAAACAAATTGAAGCTTTATACTCCAGTAAACACTTTCATACGCATTTAAATCTTAATAAACCATTCACAATCTCCTATAAGTTTATTGGTCTTCCTATACTCTCAAGCACTCAACTTCACACTCCAAATTATACGCACGAAAAATGTTAAGAGAGAGAACTAACTTTTCTGTGGAAAATCCTGAAAAAGGAAACCCGCGAATTACAGTTCTGCGAGTGCTGCAAGCACATTTCCCAAATTTGTAAATGTTTGATTATATCTCCCATACCAGCAGGGACGCATTTACGAAAACTGATAAATAATAATGAGCAGGATTAGGCATACGAAGTACTTAAAAGAATAGTAAGAAGTACTAAGTGTTTGTTAAGAAAAATAAAATTTTCTCGATAATTCCCAGCTTGTGGTGACGTCAAAAATAGCTAGAAGTAAGAACAATAAATTTAAATAGTTTGTTAACTATAAAACTTAAAGCAACCACTT